GAGTATGGTGATCTCGCTTGTGACGATGATAATGATGATGCTGTTGATGCTGATGATGATGATGGCGATGACGATGCCGACGATGATGACAATGATGATGACGATGCTGATGCTGATGCTGATGCTGATGATGATGGTGCTGATGATGCTGATGACGCTGATGACGATGATGATGCTGATGATGATGCTGCTCCTGCTGCTGCTGATGATGATGATGATGATGCTAACCATCATGTCAAATACTGTTGCTGCTGCTGCTAGTGAGTATGATGACGATGCCGATGATGGCGATGGTGATGCTGATGATGTTGATAACGCTGCTGCTGCTGATAATGTTGATAACGCTGACGATGATGATGACGATGCTGCTGCTGCTGCTGGCGACGACGATGATGATGCTGATGCTGCTGCTGATGATGATGCTTATGATGATGCCCTACGCTCTGGCGTGATTAGTCTAGGCTCGCTGGGCCTGCACAACCACCCGAACTCAGCACACTTAGGAGCTCCCCCCCTGATCTGGATTCTGAAGGCGGAGTCATAGCACAAAAAGGCCAAGACGGAGACGGTGGGTCTCTTGCTTCGGATGCAGATTGAGGCATTACCTACATAGTCGCCAGGGTGGACCGTTTGAAGTGGCGAACCGATCTCTGAACCGAACCCGAAAGGGTCACAGTCTGCCTCATGATGATGCTGCTGCTGATGATGGTGATGATGATGATGCAGATTCTGATGATGCTGATGATGATGATGCTGATGATGCTGATGCTGCTGATGATGCTGCTGCTGATGATGATAATGCTGATACTGATGCTGATGATGCTGCTGATGATGATGATGATGATGATGATGATGATGATGATGGTGGCGGTGACGATGATGATGATGATGATGATGATGATGATGATGATGGTGATGCTGGTGATGCTGATGCTGCTGATGATGCTGATGATGGTGATGCTGATGATGGTGATGCTGATGATGCCGATGATGTTAATGCTGATGCTGATGATGCTGCTGATGATCATGCTGATGCTGATGATGACGATGATGCTACTGCTGCTGCTTCTGATGCTGCTGCTGCTGATGACGATGATGCTGCGGATGCTGATGCTGGTGCTGATGCTGATGCTGATGCTGCTGATGATGCTGATGCGGATGCTGATGCTGATGCTGCTGATGATGAGGATGATGATGACGATGATGATGATGATGATAATGATGATGATGATGATGATGATGATGATGATGATGATGATGATGATGATGATGATGATGATGATGATGCTGATGCTGATGATGATGAGCCGAGGCCCTGCTACCCCCAGATCTTCCCCTCCCTGCTGGAGCGCGAGCTGGCCGCGCGGGCCTCCAACTGCCTCCCGTCCCCCCCCTGTCATCTTGGTTCCTCTCCGCCTGTTCCTGGTCCTCCCCCTACTCCTTCCTGCCCCTCCTTGTCCTTGCTCTCCTCCTTCTCTCCGCCTCCTTTCTTCTCTCTCTTCCTCTTCCTCTGCCCCCTCCCTTCTGCACCTCCCCCTCCCCTCTGCCCCCTCTGCCCCTCCTGCACTTCTCCTTCTTCTTCCTCCTCCTCCCTTCCCGTCCCGTGTCCTTATGGATAACTCTTCCCTGTCGCACCACTGGACGAGTCGTCAGGGTGAGCCTGGCGTTTCGACTCCCACGGCTCACGGTATCGAAGCCTGAATTCCTAACAGTTGCACGGATGGATCATGTGTCTTGGGGCCGTCGTTGGCACTCTCTTGGGCAGTCGAAGGCCTCCAGAGGCTGTCTTGTGTCTCTGGAGGTCCTCTTGGTCCGTCTAGGAGGCCTCTTGGGCCATCATGGCGTGCTCATGGGCTGTCCTTGGACCCTCAGGTCTTTTTCGTTTGCTGTTTCTATCAGCATTCTGGAGGACTCCCATAGGGGGACGGGGGGGCGAACGGGCATGGCGTTCGTATTCGCATGAGCTTCTGGGTATCCCTTTGGATTGCTAAAGATTCCAAGCAATTCCTGAGGATTCTTAGTCATTCCTGCAACTTCCTAGGAGCCCCTTGGGATTGCTAGAATTTCCCAAAGCGTTCCTGTGGATCTCGTAGAATCCTGCGGGTTCCTTCGGATTCCTGGTGGCCCTCAGGATCCCTGAGTATTCCTTAGCTTCATTCGATTACTGAGGAAGTCCTGCGTATCATTTGGACTTCCCAGGGGTCCCTTAGCCTTCCGAAGGCATGCGACACTCCTCTTGCCTCTTCTTCCTTCTCCTGCTTGTCCTCTGCTTCCTCCTCGCTCCTCCTCGCTCCTCCTCCTCCTCCCTCTTCTCTTCCTTTCCCCTTCTCGTTCTCCTCCTCCTCCTCCTCCTCCTCCTCCTCCTCCTCCTCCTCCTCCTCCTCCCCCTCTCCCTCCTTCTCTGCTTGTGGCGTCTCTTGTCAAGCCGGAGGCCGAGACACCATCGTAACACAAATGCATGTCATGTCAGAGGGCAAGAAGCACAGTCAACAAAAACAGTTTCCATGCTTTGCTTTCAGGTTTCGGCGGATCTATCTGTGGACATGTGCGCGCTCCGGCGTATGTATTCACAACAACCCGAGTAACCTGAAACGCACGTTTTTTCGTCACAAGGTGTCTTGTTCCATGACCTGCAACACATATTTCTCCCAACCGTCCTGTGGTGTTGTGTCTTCGTTTTGAAGAGACAGCGCCCCGCGTTCCTCCTCCTTCCTTCCTCCCCCCCTCCCTCCTCCCTTCTTCCATCCTCCCTCCTTCCATCCCTTGCCTCTGCCCTCCGCATGTCTCTGTTGTGGCACACCCCTCCGCGACCTGCAGCACATGCTTTATTTTTGGCGTTCCTGTCCCTGGCTGCGAAATGCACCTCCGGGTCAGAACCTTGAGGATCTCAGAGCCCGCGGCGCCCGCCTGAGCCCATCCGAAGGCTCTAGCGCTTGGGGCCCTTGCTTCTTCTGCCCCCTTCTTCTTCTCATCTTCCCCCTCTCTCTCCCTCATACTCGTTCTCGTCCAGCGTCCTCTCCCCCGTGTTTCTTTGGCCTCGTCGTCATCATCATCCTCACCTGCCGCTGGTGCTCCTTCCTCGCACGATGAGGAGGAGGATTGCTGGGAATTCCCGAGGATCCCTGTGGACTCGTTAGAGTCTTACGGGCTCCGGAGGATTCCTGAGAAACCTGTGGATTCCACATCTTCATTGGAGTACAAGGGAATTTCTTGAGGACCTTCGAAGGATTTCTCAGTATTCCGAAGAATTCCTTTAAGGGCCGGGGGGGGGGGCGGATGGGCTCAGCGTGCGGATTCGCATGAAGTCCTGGGCATTCCCGTGAATTCTAGACGCTTCGCGTAACCCCACCAGTACCTGCGTTGGATTGCCGACGAGCACAGGGTGCTATGTGAGTGAGTCCGCCTCTTTCCGTTCGCTCTTTTCGTCCCCCCCGCACTACTGTCTTGTGCAGGGATGCGCCTAACGGTTCCATTTCTGGTCGGCTGTTGTTAGGACAGTCGGTCGAATGTTTTGGCCTGGTCTCTCTGTGTCCTGCTCTTCGTTTCCCCTCGCCGCCTCCTGCTGCTTTTGCCCCAGCGGCTGCACGGGTACTGGCCCTGTGCGTGCTGCGGTTGGCAGCTTGTGGCAGTTTTGCTTGCGAGCTGGCGCCGTCAGGGCGACTCCTCGTTGGCTCTCGATGTCATTCGCTCTCTGCATGTGCACTTGCATGCCGGTCTGCTTGGCGCGGTCCTCAGCCGTTGGGCTGTGGTCTTGCCGCTTGGCCTGCGTTTCCAGCAGCTTGGTAGCTTTAATTATCTGGCACTGTGCCCCAGTTTGCTCGATTACCACGCCCTCTGGACTTTTCCTTGCGGGCCGCGGATCAAAAAAGTAACCCCGCCAGTCCGTGGCCCCTCTGGCTCAAGCCGCTCTGGCTCGAGGGAGCCTAGCTGGCTTGCGCCTCCTGGGCCCGCCCCCCTGTTCCTGGTCTGGCCGTCGACGAGGGCCTGGAGGGAGCCTCGCTCCTCCCTCCAGGCCCTCGTCCCCGGGCCATGGAGTCGCGCGCGACGCGGCGGCGGCGGCTGCGTCGTGCGGCCGCCAGTCGCGCCGCCGCCCGCGCCGCCGGCGCCGCTGGTGCCGCGACGGCTGCGGGCGCCGCTGGCGCCGCGCCCGCGTCCGGCGCCGCGGGCGCCGCCTCC